CGACCGATTGGCCACACGAACGAACGACCAACTGATCGAACGACCGACCGACCGACCGAACGTAACGTAACATAACGAACGAACGAAAGAACGAACCAATGAACGAACACAAGCACTAACAAATGCAGGCAAACACGTTCGAGCGACCGAACTAGCGAATAGAATAAGTATAAAGAGCCATATATTGTCAACATACATGCTAGTGGAGGAGTCTGGTGCGACGACATACACGTTACTCTCGCAGAGAGGGTAAATGATCGTCGCCATTCCCCAGTACACCAGATGAGCTGCGATGGCAAACACCTGTGGATAACACAGAATGTTAAAAATACGACCAGCTGTATTGATTCATACATTAATTCATCTAAGACTGAAATGGTATAATGAACACTTACTGATGCGAACAATTTTTTTTACGAGTGCATCCCAGCGGGAGGGGTACTTCCTAACAAATTTAGATGGGGGTGTGGTGCATGGTACATGAAGCGACCTTCCTAACCCTATTTTAGGCCAACATAGTTTATTTGCCCTACCCTATATCAGACCCACTCAAAATTGGATACCTTGCTCCAGAACAGACCCTACAGGAACTGCTTCGGTTTGCGTTAGCCTGTGAGAAGGACTCCATTCTCGTCCCCAGAGGCCGCGCTCCTTTAGGTCAACACCAAGAATCGCGACCTATGGCCGCACCTGATTTTCTGAGCATACGCAGAGTATTCGTTTCGTATTCTCAGCCTATCAGATTTGTTAGACTTGACGGGAAGTCCGTGAATCGGAGACTTCCGGTGTTAGACCAGCCCAGAGGTCGCGATTCTTGGTGCTGACCAAAAGGAGCGCGGCCTCTGGGGACTCCTGATACATTTCTCGAGATCATAAAAATGATGGTTCTTCTAAGAACCATTTCCAGTTGTTGAACAGAGCATACAAGCTATACACTATTTCAGACTAATGTTTTTCCTTAGGCGCCCTACATGCATACAATCTCGTTTCTCAAGTCTTCGCTCCTTAATACAGAAGCTTCACGACAAGAGCGAATCTCAAGAGTTCTATTACAGGATCGATTTTGATTGGTTTTAAAGACATTGAAAGTGACCGAAGGCGGAAGTAAAACACCAGACTCGATTGAGCAGGATTGAGCCACGTGTTTGCCAGCCAGGCATGCGCAATTCAACCGCAAGTCCAATATTTTTGGACTCCCAATCAGAACTTTCCAGGGTCACTCCCTTCCCGACCGCTGGTCGAGGGCAACGAAGACTCAGGGTACGAGGCTGGTTTATGTAAGGGAGTACTCCTTGGGAATGACATGCGTACCTGAGATAGTGGAATATCGGTATCCTGTGATAATGTTTGAAAGCTGTTGATATAAAAATGAACACAATGAGTTGACTGTCGCAGAATTGTGCTCAGCAAGTTAAGCAGTGATTCTTGTTATTTCATTGGGACTTTGCTCTTCTCCAGCAGTCATCAATTGAGAATAGGGACCTTAGTAAAGATACGAGGACGGGAAGGCCAGGATGGGAACGGTAGTGGAAGCGGAAAACTCTTGGGGGTCCCATCGTGTCGCCAAAGACAAAAATAGCTAGGATGTGTATTGCTGAGAGGGGATGAAAGCCTTGTTAAAAGCTGTACTAGATTGCCTTGTGGAGGAGAAATGAATGGTTGTAACAACGAAGATTGGGAAACGAAATACGAAAACAAGCAAAACAAAAACGGACGCCAGAAAAGGAAAAATTCCGAACAGAATAGTGTTAGGATCCGGCTAAGGCTCGAACAATTTTACTTCCTTATCAAGCAAGCTAATCTGCTAAGCGCTCACATACTAAGAGAAGCCAGCCTACAAGAACAGGCATGAGGAATTCAAGTTAGGAAACAAAAGTCTAGCCTAAATTTCACCCACCTCTTCTGTTCAAGTAAACTGAAATTTGGGCTTAAATTTTAAAATACCTCGGTGGGATGTTAACCAAAACCTTCGAAAAACATCATTCATTGCACTACCGACTGAGCTGCGGGCCCAGCAGAGGGTAGGCTGCGTGTAGAGATAAAAGGTAATTCCTTGCGAAAAAAAATTGGAGCCTTTTGCTCAAGGTGGTTGTGTTGCACAGTGGGCACATGTTATACCTCTTGAGCGGACTGGCCATTCTTACAAGCCTAGTGACTGCTGGGGAACAATCCCCAGGGAGGGAGTCTACCAGGTATCCTTCATTCACTAGAAATAGAAGCGTGTGGTACGGCCTGCAGAGAGAAAGAACAAAGTACTTTAGTTCATTCAGTGAGTCTGTAGGGTACACTGCTTTTCAAAAACCAGTAAATCTTGAAACATACTGTACCTCTGTAGAAACTTCCTCTGAACCAGTACAAGATGTAGATAAACAATTACAAATAACAATAACAAAAACAACAACAACAACAACAAACAGATCAAGACAAACCTGATGGCCGCAAGTGACTTATGTATGGTTTCGGGCTGGAAAGAAAAAAAAAGCTTATCCTTAAGTTGTTGTTGGTTATATTAAAAGTCAAGTTTACGTTCAAGTTTCATTGTTCCATTAATGTAGAGTACATTACAACTACATTGTATACCACAATTTGTAATGTATAATTGTACAGCTAATGTAGGTTTGTAATGCAATGTAACCCTTCCCTTAGGGAACCCCATGTGGTGAAAACTGTACTTTACCTGAGTATCAATGCTTTTAGCCATCACTGCATCTTTCACGGGAAGAAATAAAACAAACCACCGTAATTTCCCCCTCGTGTGGTTTAACTTGATCAGGCTCAATGTGATTTAAATTTCTTAAAAGCACTGAATGAGAATTTTCTGATGAGAATTCTACCCTACCCAGCCTGTCAGATTCTTGCATATTGTACTTTATCTCTGCGCATTTCTGTTTAATGATGCCTCTTCTCTGCAAAAAACTTACCTTAATGTGAATTGATCCCTGGTTCAAGTTGTGAACTTTGTGAGGAAGACAGAAGCTTACGTTCACCCAGCCATTGATTTTAAGGCGCACAGATCCAGTAGCACACAAGCTGAAGAAAACAAGGACAAAAGAAATGAAAAATACATCTGTCAGGCTGGGTCGTAACATTGTAAACTGAAAGCACCCTAAGATAACCCTGGGGAAAAACCTTGTACAGGAAATATCCAAGGATCTTTCTGAATTTTTTTAAGAATCCTGAATCCTGACATGATAACAGTTGGGTTTTTGGAAAGATCCACATGATTGGCCTGAAACCCTTTGAGAACAAACAACAGAAACAATGAGCCCCAAAACAAAAACATCTGCTACACTAAACTCATTCCCAGGGTATCTCTTCCTCTCCACGCCCCTCCCCTGCCCACCCCTGTCAAGAGCACAAGAGATGCACAAAGAAGAAAGACGCTGGGAACAACATTCCTCCAACATTATGATGACAAATAGTATGACGGAGTGAAAAGCTTCCAGGCACTGCTACACTTACACAAAATAAGATTATTAGCTGATCTCTAAGGAAATTTCTTGACACAACCCTTAAAAAAACCCTGGCAAGAATTGTGAAAATCCTTGAGAATCTTTGAATTGTAAAAATCCTCATTACTTTATTTTTAAGATCCTTGATGAAAGCTTCACTTTTTGTTGCTCTATTTTTCCCACATTTTACTTGATTGTGATCGACAAACCTTTTGAATACATCTTGTAAGTCTCTTGCCAGCTTGCTTTTAGGAAGGATGTGTTGAAATGGTGATTCTGCACAATCTGTTATAATAAAATTGGTTGGGTTACACTTAATCAATGTCTAGGAAGACCATTATCTACATGCTCGTATTTTACACAAATTTTAAAAGGAGAAAGAGTTTATCCAGGATTAAAATTTTCTTTTTTCCCCCTGTATAAAAATTGAGCAATAATTATTAAAGTTCAGACTACCCAAAGTCAAAATTGATAGTATTGATAATAATTGATAATAATATATCAAACTGACAAATACATCAAACAGGTTCAGACCACTTCTCTGCTCAGTCAGGCTCATTATTGATAGCAGAGCTCTGGCGCCCCAAAGGGCCACCAAGTGGAGCCCCATACTCATATAGGAAAGAAAAGGAAACCCATGAGTTGATTTTCTCACGGTTATCATGGCTAGCAGTATTGCTCGCAGGCGCGTACGCACGATGGCGACGATGATGATGATGACGGAATTGCACAACATGGCGGCCATACTCCAAATGATAGGTTGACAGAGACATGCAGCCTTGGCTTACCATGTACTTCTTTGATATTGGACATCCATGTTACGATCAGTTGACATCTGTCAAAATAAGGTATCCGCTGACCAGTATCACGTGACCATATCGCAGGCTCAAGTTCACAGCTCATCAAGGTCACATGTTTTTTAAGTTGACCGCTGACCAAGTGCTGGTTTTTGATTGGATTGCAGGCTCATTTCGGGTTAAAGTGTTGAAAACAGGGCAGGATTGTTTGGAAGCCGGTTAATGCTAACCCAGGATTAAAAGTTAACCAAATCATAACTCTTTCTTCTATACAAATGTTTTTCGCTGCCTTGTTTTGTGTATATAGTGATTATCAACACTCAAAACAGAAGGCCAAACAATATACTAATACAGAAAACCTCAACGCAAAGTTACAAAACTCAAATCAAAATTCTACCTTTT